ATTTGTGCATGAAATTCCCCACCGATTCAGGGGTAGGAGTGTGCAGAGGAAACCAGAAGCTCGCCCGACTTTGCTACCAAAAGCAAACCAAGAAGATGGACGCTCAGGATCTCAGGGTGGACAGTATTGCCACGGCACTTTTGAAGGAGGAAGAAGGACGTCCCCGAGCCGAGCCGGCCGAGGACACAGAAGACGTGGTGATAATGGAGGAGCAGCAGGAGAAGAAAATCAAGCTCGGTATTAACATCAGTGCCGAGCTTTGATCGAAAATCATACAGGTACTCAAGGAGAATTTTGTGGTGTTTGCGTGGAGTGTCGAGGATATGCCGGGAGTGAGCAAATCCCTGATCACTCACCGCCTCGCGGTTGGATCGGACGCAGAGCCTATAAAGCAAAGAAGGAGGCACTTGAGCAAAGACCGGAGGGATTTCGTAAAAAAGGAGGTGGACATGCTCCAAGCAGCGGGACATGTCAAGGAGATCAAATACCCCACCTGGCTGGCCAACGTCGTGCTGGCACCAAAGGGGCAGACGTTTAGGATGTGTGTGGATTACACTGACCTAAACCGAGCTTGTCCTATGGACCCTTTCCCTTTGCCGAACATTGATCAGATGATCGACGAAACGGCCGGATGCGAAGTCATGTCTTTCATGGATGCATTCAGAGGATACCATCAGGTGTTCATGCACGAAGAAGATGCCGAGAAGACGGCGTTCCTCACCCCGGAGGGGGTGTACTGTTATTTGGTGATGGCATTCGGGCTAAAGAACAGCGGAGCCACGTATACAAGGATGGTCAGCCGAGTGTTCCACTCGGTCTTGGGAAAGACGATGGCAGCATAAGTGGACGACATGATCGTCAAGAGCAAGCAGGCTTCCGACCATGCGGAGGATCTAGCCCAGGTTTTTTCTATTATGCGCAAGTTCAATTTACGTCTTAACCCCAAAAAATGTACATTTGGTGTAGAAGGTGGAAAGTTCCTGGGATACCTCATGAGCCGACGAGGTATTGAGCCCAACCCCGAGAAGGTCAAGGCGATCCTGGACATGGAGGCCCCCCGTTCTATAAAAGAAGTACAGCGCCTGATGGGGAAGATGGCTGCACTCGGCCGATTTTTGTCAAAATCCGCCGAGAAGAGTATTCCTTTCTTCGGCACACTGAAGAAGGTCCCACAATTCCAGTGGACACCCGAATGCCAGGCGGCATTCAAAGAACTGAAGAAGTATTTGCTAACCCCGCAGGTATTAGCGAAGCCGGTCAAGGGCGAGAAGCTGTACCTTTACTTGGGAGTTAGCCCGGGGACCATAAGCTCCGTCTTGTTGCGAGAGGAAGGGGACACTCAGCGCCCTATCTATTATGTTAGCAGAACCTTGAGGGATGCCGAGCTCAGATACTCGGTGGTGCAAAAAAACAATCTTGGCCGTTGTTAACACGGTCAAAAAGCTGAACCATTACTTCCAAGCCCACGAAGTGGAAGTAAGGAGTCATCAACCTCTGAGCATCATCATCATGAATCCGACGGCCTCTAACAGGGTCATCAAGTGGTCTGTCTATCTGAGTCAATATCAGATAGAGATGAAGCCGAGGGCAGCAATCAAAGCCCAGGCCTTGGCCGATTTCATGGTAGAATGTACTGCACGTGACAACAACCCCATACCCGTGGCGGGGCAGGGAGAATGGTGGACTTTATCTACTGATGGATCGTCAGCTGCAAAGGCTTGCGGTGGGGGCGTGGTAATCCAATCACCGGAAGGATTCCGCTCCTATCATGCAATAAAATTCCAGTTCAAGGTGTCCAACAACGAAGCCGAGTATGAAGCATTACTAAGCGGACTGAGGCTCATCCTCAACCTGAAGGCCGAGTACGTCAGGATCAGGTGCGATTCGCGCCTGGTCGTCAGTCAAATCAAAGGAGAGTTCGACACCAAGGAGGAACGGATGCACCTATACAAGGAGGCGGCCTTAGAGTTGCTCAAAATCCTCAAAGGATACGAGCTCGTGCAGATCCCAAGGGCAGAAAACACCGAGGCAGACGTCCTCTCCAAACTGAGCAACGACAGCCCCGAACATATCTCCAAGATGGCTCACATTGAAAACCTGGGAACCCCAAGCATCCACGTGCAGCTCATCTCTGTTGTCACCGAGGAGGCCAGCGGTTGGATCGCGGAGTTAATCTGGTATAAGAAGGATGGGATTCTCCCTGGCGATGAGACGACGGCCCGTTTGATCAAACGGAGGGCGCCGACGTACGTCATTGAGAATGGCCGACTATACAAAAGATCGTACAACGGCACATTGCTAAGATGTGTTGATGAAGCCAGAGCGGGGCAAATCATGGAAGAAGTGCACGAAGGAGTATGCGCGGCACATCAAGGTCCTTTCTCCAGGGCCAGACGCATTGTCTTGCAGGGATACTTCTGGCCGACCATGGTGAAAGACTGTGCCAAGCGCGCCAAGCGTTGCAAGGTATGCCAAGTTTTCCAGAACATTCCGGGAAAACCAGGAACCAGTTATCACCCCATCAGCTCGTCGATTCCTTTTGCTCATTGGGGAATAGACTTGATCGGACTGATGCCGAGGGCACCTGGCAATTTCCGTTGGATCATTGTGGCCATCGATTACTTCACGAAGTGGATCGAGGCCGAGCCTTTAGTGGGAGGAACTTCAGAGCAATGCTCAAAGTTTGTGAACAACAATATACTCTGCCGGTATGGTGTCCCAAAGCAGATCATTACGGACAACGGAACCCAATTCGAAGCCGGAGATTTCAATGAACTATTGGGAGATTGGAAGATAAGGCACACCTACAGTTCTGTGGCCTACCCGCAAGGGAACGGCCAAGTAGAGAACGCCAACCGAACAATCATGGACGGGATCAAGAAGAGGCTGGAGTCTTACAAAGGAGCCTGGGTGGACCAACTTCCCAACGTGCTGTGGGCATACCGCACAACTCCGAGGAGGGCGACAGGGGAAACACCGTTTTCCATGTGCTACGGTCTGGAAGCAAGAGCACCCTCGGAAGTGTTCATTCCAACATGGAGAGAGGAGAACTATGAAGCCAAGGAGAACGAGGAAACCATGGCGGCCGATCTCAACTTTGTTGAAGAGCGCCGGGAGTAGGCTTTCCTCAAAGCAGAAAACTACCGAAGGCAAGTAAAAGAATACTACGACCGCAAAGTCAGAGCAAGGGAATTCCGAGTAGGGGACTTGGTACTTAGGAAAAGGGAAGCCAGTCAGCCTACAGAAGGAGGAAAGTTTGCCAAAAGCTACGAAGGACCATACAAGGTCACAGCCGTGCTCAGGCCGGGCACCTACAAGCTCGCCACGATCGTAGGGCGCGAACTCGGCAGGCACTGGAATACGCACAATCTCATTTCTTTTTACATGTAAGGCACTGAGAACCGTAACCAGTCGGCCTCGGTAGCTTAAAAAAAATTCTCTTCAATACTCGCTTCCACGCGAATTTTATTTTGCTTTAAGCAATTTGTAAACGCTGCTTAGCGATATCGGGCTCTCACGCCACGATTTTTTATGGCCTCACGCGGTCTTTCGCTCTACGCGAACTAAGTCCCTTTGTGCTCCCACACACACATCACGAGAAACAAACTTTGGCCGTCTCGCCACTCGGCAATGCCTATTGCCGAGTGTCTCTTCAAAGGGGGAGCCCATCCGCACGGCTTAACCCGGGGAATCGGCGCTCTGAACGAGACGAAGAACAAGGTCCGAATGGGCACAACTTGTTAATAGCACAAAGGGTAGCGCAAGGTCCTGCTTAGGACAAAAAACTTGCAATCCTGCTTAGGATGTCTTCCACGACCTTTAGTCCTGCAGAGGACACACCTTTCGCCGCCCTGCTGAGGGAACGAGCGCAATAGAGCCCATTGGGGTAAAAAAAAGAAGGGAAGAAGAAAAAGAAAACACAGCACGCGAGCAATATTATTACACGAAATTCGCCCAGAACGGAGATACATCATCATTCAAGCACAAGAACGTGAAGCACTGTTTCCCAAATGGTCAAAATACACATTTATTTCTTCAGAAAATGAAGAATCTACTGAGGAAGCACCATGGTCGACTGCGAGCTGCGCCTTGAGGTCGGCGCTGGTCGTCTTCTGCGCAGCCTCTGTTGGATCAGGTTCCCGGCGGAAGGGACTCTGGATAGAATCCTCACTCAAAGAAGGCAGATTCGTCTTCGCCCAACTTTGCCACCGCTCCGACTGCAATGGGGAAGTGTACTTATCCCGATCCCTAAAGCCAATGGCTTTAGGGATCTTTCTCCCCTCGTCCGAAAATCCATGGGGAGGTAGACACCCCCCGGGCCTAATGGACTTCAGGACAAACAAAGCCCAGGTGCCGAAGGACGTGGATGGCCCCCCGATTCTGCAAACCTCCATCGGCAAGTATACAGGGGAGGGCCGTAATAGGGAAACTTAGGAAGAGCCGACAGACTCTTCCGGGTGATTGTCACCCGCGGGGATGGCATAAACAGCTGGCTGAGCAGGCTCAACCGGGGACGCTACCTGTTGGGGAACTCCGTGAAGGTAGTTCACAAGTCTTTGCAGACGTTTGATCCGCCTTTCCAACTTCTTCGCACGGTACCACCATGAGCTTGTACGCGATTCGGCATCCTCAGGAGAAGGAGGAGGGCGGCGACGGGAGGACTCCGGTCGAGTGGTCTTTTTCCGGGAAGGAAGAGGACCGATCTCCTTAGGATTATTGGAAGCCATGGAAAGATTTACTAAAAGAACGAAGGAATGGACTTCACGATGCAAGGAGAAGGCCAATTTATAAGCCCATGAACGAAGGGATAAGGGAATTGAACAGTCGTAGTGGTTAGAGATGAACTGTGCGTAGTGACACGTGTGTGGTACAAAGCGACGGTCCAGTGGTTAGGCCTGTTTGCGTGGAAAAGCCAAAGAGTCAGTTCCTCAAAAGGCGCAATTCGAGTTTTACAAATGAAAATGTCAGAAGTCTACTCAACTATTCACGCATGCAACGAAACAGTAATCAAATCTTCATTACAACAAGGGATAAGATTTCAAATATTGCAAGGAAAACATTAAGGGCGAACATCTGAGGGTGGTTCTTCGCCGACATCCTTATCTGCACCCGTATCCTCGTGCTCGGGCGTCCCAAGGTAATCCGGATTCTCCCCGAGCTCGTCGTTCAAGTTGGGATCATGCATCTCGGGAATGTCGACCCCAGGCGGAGGGAAGGACGAATCTACTCTCCTGGTCCGGCGAAAGACGAGATTGATCCCATGATGGACTCCACTCTCGAACCACTTCGTCCCCTCCACCGCCATCTTCTCAGTGTCGGCCTCGGTTTTGAGCCAATTTTCATAGAAGGCGGCCATCCTTTCCAGGCAGGTTTCTTTGAAGGACGGGGACTGAAGGAAATCAGAGACGGCGCGCTCCTTCTCGGCAGCAACGACTTGCTCCCTCTCGGCAAGAAGCTGATCCCGCTCCACTTCCGTTGACCGCTGCGCGGAGACAGCTTCGGCCAATTCAACACCCAGCTCGGAGATTCGGCCCTCGGACAGGCGCAGTCGCCCCTCGAGCTCGGCCATTGAAGCCGTCAATTGGGAGGCTGATTCCTCCGACTCTTTCAGGAGGCCCTGCACCCGGACCACCTCCTCAGACTTCGCCACGGTTTGCATTTCAAGCACGGCGGCTCGTTCGCGCTCGGTTTCCGCCAACTTCCGTAGGCGGGACAACTCCGTTTCCACCGAAGCCAGGAAGTTCACGGAAGAAGAGAACTCGGCCCCGGCTCGACGTTCGGTGATCAGGCTCAGTTTCGCCGACACCTGAGAAAAGTCGGGTCAGTTATCCGCACAGATAAGGAGAGTTAAGACATCAAGAACCTAACCTGTTTGTGGAAACTGTCCATAAGCCCCTGCAAGGACGAAAGAATCTCGTCCTCATCTTTGAGAGTCGCGGAAAGGGAAGCAGCCTCGGCCTCAGCCTGCACATTCCCGTCGGCCTTGTCAAGGGAAGTGGGACTCTTTCCACCTCGAAGACAACCTGGGTGCTTGCCCGTTGGACTCTCGGTCAGAACCACATCCTGCTCGGACGCGGTTTCCTCGTCCTCAACCTGGATGAGCTTCCTCTTTCTTTGATTCCGGGCCGGAGCCTCTTCCTGAGTCCGGGCCGAGGCAACAGAACCAGTTGCGCCCACGGGTCGAGATCCTTGTTGAACCTCTGCTCCTCGGCCTCGGTTTCGAGCCAACAGTTTGGCATTGCGAATGACTTCCACCGGATTCATATCCCCTGCCAAAACAAAACAATAGTTAAAAGACTCGGCATCCAACATGAAAAACCTTGATAGGAGGGACAAATCTCCAGAAGGCTTCGTACCAGCAACCCCCTCGGAGCAGGATGGCTGCCATGATTCTTCATCGTTTCCGGCCACCCCGCCATCTTCCCTTTCGTTGTCCCCCGACTCTATATCTTCCGACCTCGAGGCACTCTCCTCAAGCCCATGCTTAGGGCGACTCCCAAGCACGGCCTCGGACAACTCGAATTGGCGCTCAAGGGAGATAAGGATCCCCACCTCCGCTAAGTTCTGCTCCGTACACACCGTGTACACGTGAGGCGGTTTAGGCCGACAGTCTTCCAATAGTTTTTGCGCGTGTGCTTGAAGCTCGGGAGTGGCCGCAGGCCGAGGATGGCGAATGAATGTATGACATTCGGGAAACCTGGCGTGGAAGGGATGCCGGTCCCCGGGAAAGCCAGAAATAAAGACGAACTTGGCCTTCCAGAGTTTCAAGGATGAGGGAAAGACGGCCATGCCACACTCGGCCTGGGAAGAGACGACGGCATACGAATTTCCTTCAAGGGCCCCCACTTTGGAAATTTTGAACATATAACGGAACAAATCCAAAGACCAGGGGACTCCCCTCTGGTGGCACTTAATCAGGAAGATTGAGAAACAGTAATAGGAGTGGGGACTGAGCTGACCCGGCAGAAGATTGTAGAAGTTCAGAAATTGGGCTATCAGATCGTGAGGAGGGAAGCGAAGGCCGTAGCGCATGGACGCCACATGCACCCCGACCTCGGCGTCGGGGCAGGTCACTGAGAAGACATGGTTGGTTGTGTGCAGTCGGCACACTACGTAGCCGTCTCCCACGAAGCGGAGCGCCTCGTCAAAGTCAATGTCCAACAGAAGACAACCCGTATTTGTAATCGGACCCGTTTAACGGGTAAGGACTTCGGGTTCTTCCTTTGAACCGTTTTTGATTTCTTCTTTTTCTTATTCGAGGGCGGCGCCTGAGACAACGACGCCACGGTGACGGACATACGGAGAGGCACCGCACTCAAAATCCTAGAATGGTCAATTCCTCCCATCAAGCCGTCGGGGCGGAGGGAGGGATCTAGACGGTACATTTCTTCAAAGCAAACCACCGCTGAGTCGACAGCGGGGGTGGAAGGATTGGAATCAGAAGACGACATGAGAGCGGGGAGGAGTGATGTAAACCTTCAGGCGGTGCTGCGACGGCGGCGGCGATTAAGCGGAGATTTTGAGCAGAATCGATGGCAAAGCTGCGGCGCAAAAAAATGGCGAAAGTGGAGAAGATTGGGAGAATCCCCAATTTTATACATTAGAGAGATCCGACCCGACTTAATGAAAAGGCACAATTGCGAAGAGACGTGGCGCTTCTTTAGGCGCACGATCAGGAATCATCGTGAACGGCTGACAAAGGAACATTACAGAGACGTTGCGTCTCCCAAGTAGTACAATCATACTTCTCAGAATCGAGGGGACACGTGTGAAATTTTGCCAGTTGGGACACTCCCCACCCCTCGTCAGTACTCGAGTTGGGCAGCGGGGGACTCCTACACATGGCAAGGATTTTAAAATTTTAAACTCAAAAACCCCAACTTTTGGATTACTTCCCTCGGCTTTGCTACGCTCGGCCGAGGAAGTAGGGGACTCATGATGGATACCCGGGAATGGGGGTATCCAGCCCAACAGGAAAATGGCCCAGCCCAACTACACCAAGGCCCACTTGGCAAAACCAAGATGAAGGACCATCAAAGATCGCCTCGGCAAATGTCATGCGATCGGCCTCAGCAGTCTCGGTCACCTTCGGACCGATCCGGCCGGTCTCCCGTCCGGAGAACTTCCGAATATATGTCATATACTCGGCCTCGGCCATGAACAGCGACAGACCAGACACAGACAAGGGAGCTGGCAAGGTCAAGATCAAGGGGCCCACGATTAGACTCCTGTCATGCCTCTGGCAGAGTTGCTATAGTCACCCTACTGGTTACCTACTTTGTATAGCAATCCTAGGGATAATTATGTGGTTGGACGCCGCCAGTGAACAACCCAATCTTAGTAGGCCCAGACCGTTGGATTACGGACCAACGGTCGGAACCCTAGCTGTAACTTGTATATAAACCTCTTCCCTACTAAGGTAAGGGGGACTTACGTTCTAAGTATTATCCTCCCTAGCACAATACCATTCTCAGTCTACTTGACCCCATATTTTCGTGCACTCATACTTAGTTCGATACTCATCCGCCTAGCCACCTAGGCCCCCGGGTTCCATAACCCAACATCATGTATTGACCAGAATACTTCCTCGGGTTTATATGGTTTAATATTTCAAAAAGAAAGTGATAAAATGAGTAAAAATTGTGATATATTTTGTTCTTAAAATTTTTCTTTCAAATCATAGAATCACTAATGTCTTTTTGTTGACATAATTTTTGGAATAATACAGGGGGAGAATAATCATTGTATTTTTAATGTATTGTAAAATTTATATTTCTTATCATATGATTGCTAATTTATGTTTTCATACTTTTAATGATATGGGAGAAAAGAGTCAATTTTGAATCAATGCAAAGGGTCGAGGAGAGGAAGAATCATATTAATGCGTGAGAGAAGAGTCATACTCTATATTTTTTCGTTAATGTAAATTAATGTGGTGGAGAAGAATCGGGATTTTTTTAATCGTAAAATTATAAGATCAGAAATCTAAGCTTTTTAAATAAATGTGAGAGAAAAGAATAATAAAGTCACTAATGTTTTTGTAGTATATTTTTTTAATTAAAGGGTGGGAAGAATTACGTAGTATATATTTGTAGAAACTTAATAAATTTAGATCATTTATATATATGAAACTTAAATGGTATATAACATAGAAAAATCAAGCTGTTTAAATATTTGATATTGTACAATCGAAAATAAATTCGTTCCACCCGTGCATAACACGAGTTAAAATACTAGTGAAATATAATACCAAGTAGTTTTTTTAGAATATGTGTTCGCTTAGGTGTGTGCTTATTTTGTCCAAATTATGCCACATAAACATTCTAATAAGCGTGCCGCATGTCGCAATTCTAGAGACTCAACTCTCAAATTTTATAAATAGAGATTTTTCATTCACTTGTGAATAGGCCTGGCAAAAAATGATCCGACCTATTTTTGACCCGAAACCCGACCTGAAAACACTGGGTTTTGAACAAAGGTTTTGATGACCGAACCCGAAATGACCCGCTAAAAATGGGTCAAACCCGACCGAACCCGAACCCGACCTGACCGACCCGCTAAAGTAAGAATTTTTCAAAATCATACACTTTACTACTCGTTTCTAGTGTACAAATTTATATTTTCAGACAAAATTTTAATAATATTGCATAATTATCTTACTTTTTCCAAAACTTAAGCATTTTTAAATTCATTATATTAATTTATATATCTAAAAATTACCTCAGAGTTTAAAATAAAATAATTTTATAGATTTAATACTTTTTTTGATATTTTAAATTTATTAATAGAAAATGTAAGTGTTAATGTGAATTTAAAAAGCTTTAAAAACCAAAGTCATAACCCGTTGGGTCGACCCGAACCCGACGATACTGGGTCATGAACATACAGTCCTCAACCCGAACCCGAATTGACCCGAACCCGAAATAACCCGAACTTGAAGTGACCGAACCCAAACCTGACCTGACCGACCAATTTGCCAGCTCTACTTGTGAACCACCTATGAACTAGCACATAAAGGATAATGAAAATCAAGATATTGATACAATAAAAAATTTACTTGTACCAATTTAAATCACTTATTTCACTTTATAATGTTTGATTGAAGTTATTTTCAAATCATTCTATATAAAAAATGGTATAGAAAATCTTCAAAGACAAAAATGCTCTAGAAATGTTAATTTTGATATTATTTGCTAATTTGGTCATTACTTTATAATAAGGTAAGATAGAGTTTGTAAGATAGATGAGTCATAATAAAAAATATAACATCAAAATTATCCACTTTCAGAGCACACCTTATATTTCATCTTTGAAAAATTTTATGGGACTAAAGGAAAACTTCGGAATAACATTTTCGATTAGCGATTACGTTTTAGATAAAATTTTAACGGTGCATATCAATTTTGAGAATGCTAACACTAAACGTTGCTCGTAGATAATATTTTCAAAACAGTAACACCAACCTCTAACGCTGTTCTCAAGCCAGCCCTAAAGGAAATACTTGAATAAATAAGGGCAAATATTATACAAAATATCTACTCCATAATATACATCATTGTGATGAAGACAACGATGTCTAGTCTTGAAGAGAAACATTATTGTTGCAATGTCACACAGAACATTTTTTGCCACAAGACAATACTCCGTACAAAACAAAAACTAAAACTAAAACAGAAAACTAAAAGCATTTCAAGTTTAGAGTAGACTGATTCACAGCACAGAGCACTTGCCACATTATCATCACTTCATCATCCTGTGGATGAATATTCTTATTAATTACTCCCTCCTCTCAAAATCATCGTACTATTTCGAGCATCGTCCAAAATCTCATCTGTTTTAAAATGATTTTATTTACAAATTAATATAAATAAATAAAAAATATAGTTTACATATTCAAAAACTACATCAAAAGTTGTTGCAAAACAAGTGGTGATGTGTCTATTTTATTCTACCAAATGATCAATGAAAATGTACACACAAACAAAAGTTATCAAAAGCCTGGAATACTAAACATGACGATAATTTTGGAGCAGAGGAAGTTTTATTTTTTTTATTGAAATCAAATTGGAAACCTATCAGATTAGAAATATTTAGATCAGATCAAACCAGACTAAAGCAGATCAAATCATATCAATTCAGAAGATTTAGATCAAACTAGATTAGATCCATTCAGAAGATTTAGATCAGACCAGACTAGAGTAAATCAAATCAGTTCAATTCAGAAGATTTACATCAGATCAAACCAGACTAGAGTAGATCAAATCAGATCTAACGTGAAATATTTAGATCTGATCAAACCATAATAAATTCTTCTCAAAATCAATCACATCAGGGCACCTATACCATACATCCAAATGTATGATGCTTCACGCACATCCGCTTGAATACTCATTTTTGAGTAACTGGATACTTATTCTCAAGTCATAGAATACTCAATTTTGAGTAACTGGATACTCATCCACGAGTATAATTGAAGTTTAGAAAAATGAGTATTCAGTTGCTCATAAATGAGTCCTCACCACGAATGTACGGGAAATATTGTACGAGTTGTACGATATATATTGAGTCATGCAAAGAGAACATGTCCTAACATCGTCATAAATTCATAACATGCACGCGAGTTTATGCATACACAGCACTGGTAAAGATCGATTTTACCTGTTTGCAAGAAGAGAGCACTGGGAAGGAAGATGAGCATTTAGTTAATTTTTCAGAAGTAGTTGAGAGATCCCAAAGGCAAAGGTCTTCCAATCAGATTGGTATTTTTAGTATCTTTGCAGCTGCTCACATAATCATCACAGTTGTCACCACTTGAAGGCAGCATCTGATCAACCTCGTCTGGTTTTGGATGATTGAGGCTCTCATTGACTATCTGCTGCACGTCAAGGGGAGATAATATTTTGATATACCAAACGCTGTTTACGAATTCCCTGCAAGAAAAAAATAGCATTTGTAATGTAATCTCCCGTGAAATGCTTGCAAGAGATCTATAATGCAGAAGTACTCCATCCCAAAAAAAGACATTCGTGATTATGGTTAGTTGTACCATGCCAAAATAAAACTCTTTCCTGTAATGGAGGCAGTACTTGGAATATGGTTTGGGCAAACTATAGAGTGGAAATTCATATTGTGTTTGGTTCGTGGATTTTGGTAGGGAAAGGAAAAGAAAATAAGAGTAAAACCTTTTTCCTTTGTTTGTTCTCTTCAACTTATTCTTATTACTTATTACTTATCACATTTGATCAGATCACACCACATCAGATTACAAACAACTTTAAATATAACTACAATCACATCAGACCAAATCAAACCGGATCAAAACTTATTCCAATCAAATCAGAACCAATTAGATCACATGAAGAGAACAAGCCCATACTGAGAGGAGAGAAAACCAATTTCCTCCCATTTTGGTGAAGAAAATGAGAGAAACTTATTTTCTTTTCTTTTCCTTCCAAATTCCTGGAACCACACAGAGTTAGGGTTCCAAAAGGTATGAGGCCTAGCACTGAGGGAGAACCTAGTTGAGGTCAATTTAGGAGAAAAAACTAGGCATTCACGGAAGCCTAGTGATTGGACAGAGATTTTGAGAACGGAACATGGAATCACACCACATTGTGTCCGCATAGATAAAATGAAGAAAAAGTTGACGAGTAATAGAAAAAAACATTTAGCTTACTGCCAAGGGTCGTCGCCGATGAGAAGTACATCATTCTCTCGGTCAACAAATACAAGCTGCCAGCCTGATCTCTCTGGGTCCTCCAATAGGCCTTCAAGGCCAAACATACGAGCAAGCTCACTTCTCAGTTCATGGTAACTGCTAAACTTTGAGATATCAAGTGACCGCCCACAGGACCCAGACTTATGAACCTACAAGAAATATGCTCATTAAAGGCCAAACCATCATAATGTGTGGAGCAGAATGCACGATACGGACATATTGTGCATACTGCATAATTAAATGTGAAGTCAGATAAATATTGGAACAAGCTATTTGTATGACACTAGTTCCCTCACCAACTGTGGGTGGACACACATTTGAATGAAAACATTTAGCAGATGATGAGCCCACCTTCACAAAGGTTCCGGTACGTGGGTTTTCTTGGTCTTCATTTTCCGAGGTTTGCAAGAAACCTGATTCATCTACACAACTTGATGAGGTCATGTCGGAAGAGTTGACGGGACGATCATTCTCTACAACACTTCTACATAAAGTAGAGCTTGAAAATGGCATGTCCAAAGATCCATCCTCACAACTGCTACTATTGAGAGTTGAAGCCCCGCTTTGCAATACATTTGATGGGTCCATATTATACCCAAACAGTTCATTGCTCTGGTCATTTGTCACCGTTTGGTATTCTGGGAAATCTTTACCGCTAGGTGCGGATGGGAAAAACGTGGAAAGATCAGAGACTTCAGAAGAGGGTTGGGGCAAATCTCTTGACTGTGAATTTACATATTGAGAAACTCCATTAGAGACTTGAGATTCAAATGCCATTCGCTTTGATGGTGGAGGGAAGAGCAAAGGGTATGATCCAGACATGTTAAATGAACCAAGAAGACTTTGCACAGAACAACCACTATAGGTAGAAACATGGTTTTCAACCACATCAGGAAAGCTCTGTCCTGAAGTTATGGCCTGCATGTGTGAAAACTGGGCCTGAGTTACCGGATCCATTTGTTGACTAGTGATGGGCTTTGTGTATTCTTGTTGGTCTTGCAACAGTTGGTCACTGAAAGATAGATACTGCAATTGCTGCGGTAGAACTTGAGGTTGAGACATCACTTTACTATTTTCTTTAAAGCCGTGAAGAAAATTCTGTTGAGCATGGAGATGTTGCAAGATGTGAACTGGATATGGAGAAGTAGCAGGGTTACTTTGTTGAAACTGGAGATGCGAGAGACTTCCAAGCTTGGAAGGATCTAATGATGCTATTGTTTGCGGGATATTCGGTTGTAAACCGATCATGGAAGCATCAATAGGCCCTTGCATAAATGGTGTAATGCCAAATCCCGGAAAATTTACTGACTGACTCCTTGGATCTCCCATTTCTCGACACAGCCATGAAAGTGGAGGGGTTATATTCATAGAACCATTGTTAAGACCTGAGCAAAGAGAACAGGAAAAGATTCAACCAAAAACAGAGCTAGTGGTGAAAACTATTGTTTCTCTCGGATCCATTAGTGCACCTGGGAAATAAGGTAGTCCAGATGGCCATGGTCGCTTTAGTCCAACAGAGAAAGGACTCAAATGCATAGGGAAAGTGTTAATTGGTTCAATTTCCCACAATGAAACTCTAGGTTGCCTCTCCCCTGCTGTGGATTCATCCCATCCTACCTGCAAAACCAGACTATCAAGAAAGAAGCACTGATACAATATATAAAACCAAAGAAAAGAAGCCCAAAATTGCAAACAATATCACCAATTTTTAAGATACATCCAAGTTCCACCATGAGGATAAAACAACAAGAATTGTGGATGCCCTAACCTTGACAGATCGCCAATGTGAATTTGGCCAGCGAACAGGATCTAAATCACTAATACCAGTAATGGTACCCATATACCTGGATCCAAAAACACTTATTCCTGGTTAGTGAAAACATAGGGAGAAAGGGAGAGTTAAATCACAATAAATTGCATTCGCAAGGTAATTGCAAATAAAAATCCCGAAGTTTCAAAATTTTCACTACCCTAGCACATACTTTTAGAAAATGGAATTATCAGTCAAAAAGAAAATTTGTTGCCGCTACGAGATAGAAATGGAATTATCAGTCAAAAAGAAAATTGTACTTTTGATAGAAAAAATGTCCCGGGGTACTTCGTCACTGAACCCCTAAAATCACTAACTATCTTTCATCTTCAAACAACAACTTCAACATTGACTGATTCGGGGTTGAGGACTTCGAGTAAACTTTTTTGGTCTACATCTTTTATTTTTAAGCAAAAAAACTTTCCAAATTTGTCATCTACCACATGAAACCTTAACCGCGCCGGATGAAATTCCAATTAGCAAATGGAACAGCTGTTTGTAATTTATGTTGAGTATAGTCTGAAGTGTTAGAATATAAAAAACATTTCCTGGGCCACAATTACAAGCTTGAGCTTTTTGTTGAATTGGTTCATTGACATGGTATCGGAGCCTTGATGATTAAGAGGTCACGGGTTCAAAACTCAGCTCCACCCAGTTTTAAAAATTAAGGTTTCGCGTGCAAGGCTTGAAAAGACTAAGTCTGTACGTGAGGGGCCTGTTTGAATATAAAAAACATTTCCTGGGCCACAACCACAAGCTTGAGCTTTGGGTTGAATTGGTTCATTGACATTAAGTACTGAGAATTCTAAAAGTTGGAGATTTTTTGGTAATTATTTTATTTTTAAGTGTATCTCTTCTTAGAAAATTAACTGCAGCGAGATACAAGCCAGAACTCCTAAAACAAAAAACTTTCACCAAGTGTACTAGTTACAGCTTGTTAGAGACCAATGAACTTAACCTCTAGAGGCAGTCCACAGCTAATGTTTGTGCAGCTGAAGTTCATGATCTCAGAGCTTACATATATTTAGAGCTATCCACTATCTCAAAGTATCATTTGCATGGGACCAGGAATATCAAATGGAAAGTTACACCTACCTACGGACACTTGATTCTTCTGTTTCGAATAGCATCCGAAACCGCATACCGACAGAAACCTGAGGATGATACACTGCTTTGGCATACCTGGCTAGGGGTATGATATAATCTGATGGACTGGCCCTGAAATATATTTTAAAGAAATTAAAAGAGCATTCCAATGTTATCTGAAATTCTACTTGAATAGATTATTGACACTTCAAAAAAATTGGCAATGCAAAACCTGAAATTTCTCTAACGCAACCAGAAGATAAAAGAGCCAACTACAGAGAAATAGTTCTTTGTAGGGGTGTGCAGACTTACATAAACCGGCCTAACCAAACCGGAAATTTGGTATGTAGGAAATACAACAATCCAAAACTTTAGTTTGGTAAATTGCATGTTACGTCCCAATATATTGGTATTCGGTTAATTATTCATTCTCCATTTTGGTAATGCAGTGTACTGAATACCTATACACACACACACACATGTACGCACATATAAATAGCATTTATGAATGTACACATGTATATGTGTAGATAAATATTTATATAATAAATTTGTGTCCATTCAAAGTTCACCTTTTCTTTTGGATGTCTCTTAAAAACACCCTTTGGATTCGAAATAATTTTAGATATACTTTTTCACTCCCAAAGAATGGATGTCCATTCATGTTTATCCTTTCCTTTAGATTTTCTTTATCAAATGATCAATGAACTGTAAGAAAAAAATATAGTTTATTCATGTGAATTATGAATTAGAAGTAGAACTACACTTTGAGACGGAGATTGCTACGTTATTATTGCTTATGTACATGGTTAAAAGCTCTTTAACACTTTGTTTTTATAATTAAAATGCATGATTAAATTTCATAAAAGATTTTTCAGTATAAACTAATTGTGTATTTGATTGCCACACACACAAACTTCTTCTCCTAGCATACATACATGTACAGGTAACAGTATATAAAAAATGAAACTATTCAAAATCATTTTGGTATGGTAAAACAGAGAGCTTAAGTTTCAGTTCACTTCAATATGGTTTTGCCTAATAAACACCACCTAGTTCTTTTTAAAGATGTCACAGAAGTAGGGGATGCAGATATAAACAGAAACACACCTTGGATTGTAAAATATATTGAAAGGGCTATTTGTCGCAGCGGCGTGAGCTGCTGCTGCAAGAAGACCAATGTGCATGCTGTCACTGGATAAAACAGAGGAAGGCATGACAGTTTGTGGACGAGGGGCACGTCGAATTCCCAAAAACATCTTATTATTTTCGCTCCTGACAGATAAAGAAATGTTTTACATAGAAATGAGATAAAACACATAAAAAGTACTCCCTCCGTCCTATAATGATCTTCCCAGAGCACTATTCCAACTTCACGGGAATTTATATTTATTTGTGTTTTTTCATGGCCTATATGATAAAATAAAATATTCTTGTCACCACTTGTTTTGTTGAACTTTTGGTGTAATTTTTAAATATGTATGTTTTATTTTTTATTTCTATACCAATATTTAAATAAAAAAGATTGAAAAAACTTGGGATTTTTCTTCGTTTTGCGAACCGGGAAGATCATTATAGGACGGAGGGAGTACATTATTTGGATGAGAAAATTTTTCTTTGTAAATCCTACAAGTTCCACATGCAAAGGGAAAAAGAAGAGGTAAAGAAATATGGCATTTTTAATAGAGATCTAGATTACGCTTCCTACCATATAAATATGACAGAATCCCCAGCCACAAGTCTCTTTGCACTTACAAATACACTCCATCCTGTCGTCAAGAGATGCCTCTTTGGTTGTCCTGTACAATTCACATAACTGATGAATTTTGCTTTCAGTAGTCTTTTTTATGTGCAAGCAAACAGCATGTTTCCTTTCCCTTTAGAAGTAACTCAGTAAGCAATTATAAATAAAAGCTTGTATAAAATAACACACATGATTCATAAAAAAGAAGAGGCCTACCGAAAAATAATTAAATACTCTCTCTGTCCTGCAATATTTGTCTCGTATTCCTTTTTGGATGTCCCACAATATTTGTCCACTTTCCTTTTATGGTAACAAAAAGAGCATGATATGTCCATTTTGCCCTCATCATTTATTCCCTTTGGCTGTCCATTTTCCTACACATATATATCACCGCCCAAATCATCATCACCCAAATCAGATTATCATCGCCCAACACACCCAGACTTATTCCCTTGCTCTAACTTCCCGGATTATCACCCAAACCAGAGTCAGGCAAAATGAAGCTTTTTCAATTTCTTTCACAACAATCTGAGCTCTGATTCTTTAAATCATAGAGCAAAGTAGAGCAATTTGAAGATTCTTTAGTTCTGCAACGGCCGTTGCAGTAAGAATGATGGAGGTTACTGGTTGAGTTGTGGCAGGTGATTGCTCCGGTGGAAGAGCTCGCCTGGTTTCAATCTCGTGTTTTTCTTCTCCTTCATCTTTCATAACTAATCCGTATAAGACACTCTCTCAAGATCCACCATAAAGCCTTTGAATCTGAGGACAAGAATTCTTTCCAACCGGATGAATTAGATCGAGATTTTTGTAAATGGTTTTGTATTACATTCGAATACTCCATTTAACGATTTCTGGCGGTATGACTTCAACGGAAGATCAAGCCTGGGCAACGGAGGGAATGTGCTGGGGCAGCTGAGGGACAGGTTGGGATGATAGGTTATTCAGGGTTAGTTGTGTGCTTGGGTCATTTTATCCCTAGCCTTGGTTTCAGTGCTAAAACAAAAGTGGACGAATACTGCGGGGCAGAGAGAGTACTCCGTATTTAACTAATTAAAATTTAGAAGGATGTGATTAAATCCAGAGCTGAACATGAAAAAAAGAGAGACCTACTGAATTTCACTAAACTTTTCAGGAGCATGCATGATTAACCCCAAGTGTACAAAAAGTGGTCGCACCCACGGCACAAGGCTCCCCCACCTCACGTGGGATCTGGGAAAGATGGATACAACTTTCACTTTGTGACAAGCTCCAAACTGTTCTAGTCTTAAAAGGCATTAATAAATTACAAAACTTTATGCAATTTTTATCCAGAAACGAGTTTCATGTATGTTACGCGTGTTGATTGTGCAACCATAACAAGTTTCATGATGGTTGGATTCATATGCAATTTGCAACATCAATGATCAACCATCACCCGATGAAAGAGAGACAACATTGGAAGACTCTATCAGCTCATGCCAGCCACTAATTATTGGACTGAAGTGTTCAACACATAAAACATTCATACTGTTATTGGCTTTATCGTGTTGACTGCATTTTATCCCGTCCATTATCAACGGAGCTAAAAGAGTCATTATTGACAATACAATGTTTTAGTTTCAAGAAAACAATGAACTAAATCAAAATGACACATTAAACTTCATGTGCTTCTAACTATCTATGAAGATTTGGGTAGTAAATGAAGCAATGCATCAAGGGTCTAACGTGAACAGCCTCTGACTTTTTACAGGGGTAAGACTTTGTACATCTTGGGCCATCTTGGCCCTTGAAACCCTAAAGAAGTAGGGATTATACAAGGAATACGGGGTTGTTGTTTTAACTTCTTTTTAAGCAAATAAGAAATTCTGATGCAGATGTTGTAAACTCTACTTCAGCAAAAAAATATAGATTCGCAGCACCGGAACAGTTTAAGCAATACTTGCCTCGAAAGATATGCCTGAATTTCCACTCATTGCCATGTAGATCTTTGGCAATCAACTCTTGAGCAGGAGGTTGCTGGGAATAATCCTGCAATAATAGAAATTTCATGATGGCAGTGAAAAAAATGTACCCAGTAATGCTTTAGAGACAGGAGAGCCAAAGCTATGGTTAAGCAACAAGAGTTGGTGCTTACAAGAGGAGGGAAGACTTTTTCAGCTGCCCGTCTGGGAACAGAGAATCCCCCGTGAGTACTTGTGTCACTTGCCGTCAATATCTTACAGAAATAGTTTGTCGGCTGTTTACTTGGCACCCCAAGTTCAACTGGGAACAGGCTTACGTCCTTCTGTTCTTGCTGCACAGAATTAAAACCACCAATATACCAGCCACATTAAAATACTCCGTAATAAAGATGATATTAATTAAAAAGTGCATTGACAGATTAAAAAAGTGAAAGGATAAATACTGGGCTCAATGGCTGCAATGTCATCTGTGCATATACTTCATCAGTCTCAACATCTGCCTGCAATTTCCAAAGTTTCTGCCACCATTAAGATGCATTCTCTACTTAAACTTCATGCTCAACATATGACATGAAACTTACATGCATTGTCACATTGTGAAGTTGACAAATAAGTTGTGGTGGTAAACCAGGATAATTGGGAATATGAACATCGACTCCCTTGTTTGTAGATGCAGCAACCTATTAAAAATCCAGATTGGAATCAAATCCAGATTTGAAGTCCAAATTCAAGTTTCTAAACACACCATAAAGGAATGAAGAATTTATTTTACTCTTTATATAACATAACAACACTAGTTGACTAGGAGATAGAAATGAAGTAAATGTATTGATTAACATGAGTTCAAATGACACACCTGCTCACTATGGCCTTGAGGAAAATACACGACCCGACTTCCAGCTTGTGGAAGAGAGACAAGCGGGCCAGCACAGGCGTGCCACAGCTCCGAATTCAAGCATTTATCTCTATCCACTGGCCAAAGCACATTTCAAGAAAACACAACAAAACCCCAAAATCGAAAAATTAGCCACCGAACTAATACTAAATCACTAATCAAGCACTACTGAATCAGAAATCAGCCAGCATACCCGGAACTTCCTCGGTCTGAGGATTAAACCCAGACGAACAAACCCTCATTGATGAAATCAAATGAACTCCCACTTCCAATTACCCAATTCAACAAACAACAAATCTCAACAAGTTGATCAGGAAGAAATCAAATCAAATCATATCAAAGCAATTGCAGAGCCAATTGGGCAACATAACCCCACACTCCCCACCCAAAGCAGCGAGCTCAAACAGCAGAAACGCATTACAGTATCATTCATATCAATAAAAAACACTTCTAGAATGCTTCACTATATGCGCTCCAGACACCCTAAGACCAATCGAACTGGACAATATGCAGGGAGGAGCAACAGTGGAGGCGCAGATCTCGCATGACTGAACCTCGGCGTTCGCCGGAGCACAAGGCCGGTCGGAATCCTCCGAAGAAGATGAGGAGACCGTGCAATGCGCTAAGGGCGGCGTGCGCAGATCTCTTCGAAAGGTACGGCTCGGAGAAGAAAGGAGAAAGAAGAGGGAAAAAAGAGGAAAGTTACAGAAGGGACCGGTTTCCATTTTTTACTGTGTTTGACGAAATGTTTCCCTTGGGTGTAAGGAACAGTGTGAGTGGGTCAGTGGTTAAAAGTTAGGGAGTGAAAGTTAACGGCTTACCAATCAAGCCAGTATATTTTGCCCAAAATATTAGTGTTATATACTAACTCCGTACCAGAGTATTTGTCTATTTTTATTTTTATATACTATCCAATATACTTTTTTAATTCATTTTATCTTGTAATTTGTATATATTAAAAAATTATAGAAATTATATATTAATAATCTATATGTTAAAACAAATCAAACAAGATCACACATGACTATATTTAAGGTTACACATTGAGAGAATTTGATGAGTCAAAGTCCTTAGATGAACAGTTCCAAAAGTCAAAACTGGATGAATACTCAGGACGGAGGGAGTATCATGATAAATTTATAATTATAAAATATTTCAAAATAAATAATCCCTCTGTCCAAAAGTTATCTTCTCGTTCACTATTAAAGTAATAGTGAACGACCAACTTTATTCACTTTGTCAGCCTATTTTCATTATTTATTTGATAAAATAATATAATCATGTCACCTCTAGTTTTCTAGATCTTTTGATATATTTTTTTAAAATGTAATTTTTTATTTTTTAATTTCACACCATTTTTCGTATAAAATAATTTGAAAATAAGTTCAATCAAATATCGTAATACGGAACACGAAGATAGTTTTTCGACGGAGGGAGTATTACTTCTTTCGCCCCAAAAAAATCCTTTTAATTGGGTTTGGTACAAGGTTTAAAAAAATTGAAGTAAATTGTGTAGATCAGAATGATGGAGAGGAGAGAAAAATGTTGGGCTACACAAAATTTGCTTAAAATGGAAGGAGCCTTTTTTTAACATCTCGAGAAAAAATGATGAGTCTTTTTTAGGAAAGAAAGAGTATGTTTTTTTTTTGAGAACAAGAAAGAGTATGTTATTTTATAATAAATATTATGTTGCTTAAGTTGTTTCAAAATGAATGCAACATTGTTGGAAAATGAAAAATTTGTCAAACAAGCTTGAAATGAATACTAGGTTGTTTGGAAAAATGAACATTATGTTGAGCAAATGATGTAATAAGACAGCAACTGAAATTGCAATCACCATAGCCAGATGAATCCAGATCTATACGGGAGATTTTAATAGCATCTCTAACTAAAACCTCGTGTCCCCAACCAGCACACGTGTACCTCTAGGGTTGTGCTAGGATAGGGCAATTCAACTGGTCTAAGATGTGAAATTTGAAACAAGAGACCAAGGATCGAGCCTCACCAGTGACAGTGTCGGAGCAACCTCTCAAAAAATGAGAGGGGCACCTTGTGCACAATGAACACTAGTCTCAACCTCCGTTGCCAGTTGAGTCACCATGATTCTCACCTCCTCTCACAATCTCGCCACGCACCCGGAGTGAGCGGTTTCACTTTTTTAGAACAAGGGTTGTGCTAGGGTGCCTCTAAATGGATGCCTCGATAAGCACCTCTGTGCCTTGCAGAGACACGTACAGACGTATCGTGTCTCCATGGAAGCATCCACTTGGGGGCACCCTAGTTTTATTCATGTAACAAATGCAGAGTTATTTTGTCATGAATTGTTAACAGCAGGGGAACTACTATAACTGTTGCTGTGTAACAATCAATTTGCAACACAGTTAAAGAGGAAACAAACAAACAAACAAAACCACATCAAACCTTCCTCTTGAGGGAGGCAGTTTTATAGCCGCACTTGGTAGGCTTACCCCAAGGGGTCCGCGAGCCCTTCCCGTGACTCCCGCTACTCTTGCTCTTCCCCTCTCCGCCGCCGTGCGGGTGGTCAACGGGGTTCATCGCCACGCCGCGGACCGTGGGCCGGATCCCCCGCCACCTGTTCTGGCCCGCCTTGTACAGTTTCTTCGAGTTGTGGGACGCGTTGGGGGCGGGCCCAATTGTGGCCCAACACCTGACGTCTATCATTTTCTTGACACCGGACGGGAGCTGGATCTCGCAGTGCCTGGCCGAAGCGGATCTGGGCTCGGTCATGATCTTCGCGGACGTGCCCCACCCGCGGACTAGCTTCGGGCCTTGTCCCGGACGCATCTCAAGGTTGTGGATGTAGGTTCCGATCCGCATCTCTTTTAGCGCCATGCTTGCTCCGGTTTGAGAGGTCACGTCGAGCGTGAACGCCGGGTTCATCATTTGCTGGGGTGAGGTTGTCGGAGACGCCCTTTTAGCTGCCGCATCTGTTTTTTTTAAGAGGGGCCAAGTAAAAAAAAATACAAACATCAAATGTGAGGATACAAGTCTATGTTTGGCAAAGCAAGCTAGCCAATGGTACATTAAGTTCTATCCATTTGAAACTTATATAGCCAACATCTTCTAACTTAACAAAGAGTACTAATGAAAAAAACTGCTTGTCTCATACACATTATTTGGTAAAAGTTAGCACATAAGCTTCTCTAGTTCATAAACATAAGCCGATATTGAATGATAATAGCAACAACCCATAAAGATCCCATAAGTATGGTCTCGAGAGGGTGGGTATACGAAGATCCTACAAGCTTACCCCAGCCTAAAAATGACATAAAGGATATCTTGGAAATATCTTAAAAACAAAATTGAGGTTAAAATGGACCTATATAGACGAAACTCACCAGCCTATTTGAAAAGCTACTCAATGAAGCTTAACGAAAAGCTTAAGCTAATTAAATATGTTGCCTCCACTGAACAAAACCTTTCTTTAAAATAGGTAATTGCTAGCTTACAGACTCTCTTGGAAACAGGCTCTCTACAATCGAGTAAGGGTAAGGTCTGCTACGTACACACACCCTCCTCCGACTCTACTCTCGTGGGACCCTACTAGGTTATTGTTGCTAGTTCATGGTGTGCCAAACATAGCTTGAAAATGCAAATAGATACACATTTAAAGGTAGAGATAGTGAAGTGTATATACATACTGGAGCTAAGAGATCGAAATAGGAATTGACAAAAGGAGGGTGTAGACGCCATTCGAGTTCGAACAAGAGCCATTTTCAAGCATTAAATCTCTATCGTGTTGACGAGTTCACCCCCGCAACAGCCTGGTCTGCACAAAACAATACAACAAAGTTGGATTGGAAGTCAAACAAGTTATGCATATATTCAAAATCTTAGTTTCGAGTCGATCACATAATCGATTCATTGATATATGCGAGAGTGTAAAATCTAACTGCATATTACAATACTCATCACTAATATTTCTAGGTTTCATAATGAAAATGAAACTAGGGTTCGTTAAACCACCTTATACAAAGTTGCAGGAACTGAAAACCAAAATCAAAATAAAAACAAAAATTCAAATACATTTAACTCAACATATTAACTCAAAATTGAAATCCAACACATTTTACTCACAATACATTTCATCTGAAATTGAAATCTAAAACCGCCTTAAGGTGTCTATTAAATATATAAAGGCACAGTTGAATTGGAAACCCAATCCAATTTTACCGCCAAATCTGAGCAATCGGATGGCTAAAAATATTTGGCAACACGTGGCTACAATCTAATGCATCGTAATGGTACAAATCAGATACAGAATACTTTACACATGCTGGAAAGGACAAGAGCAAACAGATGTAAATAGGAGCATTTAAATCTTGTAGAAAACTCCATGCAAATTGGTTTTAAAAAATCCAGGAAGCACTATTGCCCCACATTCTAATCCATCCTTACATCACTGGATTCCATTGCACATATTCATTGAATCTTCAATTTGCTACAGTAAGAGTAAAATAATGCAGAGAATGCTCTAGAGTAAATTTGATTAACCATTGAGGGTAAAAGTGGAAATTTCCTGCACTGAGTTTCTATAAGAAAGGCTCATTTTTTCCATTACACTACATAGCTCATTGCATCCTCCAGGAGAAGCAGTGCATGAATTCTATACACTCTTCCATGTCTACGTTTGGTCACTTTTGAAGGATATTCATCCGTCAAAGACATGTCCTGTCCTAAAACAACAGTACTCAAATATGACATGTTGCCATCCCTAAAAAACAGTGGCGATGGTCAAGAAAGCATTTTCCGTGATTTGGAGGTATAACTGAATTAATTATATTTTTTTAATGTTTACCAGACCCTACTGTAGTGGGATTCAACTGGGTTGTTGTTGTTTTTATGTTTAGTGTAGAAGCAAAATGTCTCTTTTTGCATAGTTAACGAACTAATTCATCCATTTTCAAAGAATGTATTCCTACGTATGAGCTTATACTATTATACAAGACCACCGCAAGCAAGTACAAGCTCACTATCGTGAGGCAAAGTCAGATTTGTCCACATACGGATACAAAATTCTTATTGTTTTAGGAGGCAAATACAATGTAGAGCATTGAGGTTGCTATACAATATTCAGTGAGAATTTTGTATTGATAATGGTATCATTTTAAAGTTTAGAAAATCACAAAATTGAGGCATAGTGGGTGTAGAAACCTTCGTGGTTTAATTTATTTCATTAAAAGATTACACTAATAAAAATTGAATACATTGTTCATACTTCATAATTCATATTATTTTGATCACAATGTTCTTATTATAAAAGAATACATTCATAAATCATATTTTCCTGTAGATACAACATGATAATCATCTTTGAATGTCTTAATAATATAAAAGCATGTCTTAATACCAACACATAATGTTTGTAAAAATAGTTTAATTACTACAGAGTATAAAGATAAATCTCATCTGCTACCTGTGATGAATTAAGACACAAATAAAGGTTTATATTTATATAGGCAGACTGGAGCAGTTCAAAAGAGTGAGGCAGGGTGGTGTGCATGAACCATTGTCGTACTTTAGAAAGATTTGGTACACAATTTACTCATATATGTTTGGTATCAAACAGGTTATCCAGGTACATTATTCTAAAGCATTTCACAGAAGAGTGGCAAAGTTGGCATAGCAACCATTTGGTTTTATTCTTTATATTAAAAAACAATCTACTAACAAAAATTGAACACATTGTCTATTTTAATAGACCCGGCCCTTTTTCATTCACTCTAGCAACCCTTTAATAGAGCATCTTTAGTGTTAATTGCCTCGACAGATCAGAGTTCTTAGCTATTTTTTATTACTAGAGTGCTACTAAGCAACTCTCTAACAAATTGAGGCAATTGTGCTTCCATTTCATATGTCACCTAATCATTTTTAAATAAAAATATTCCTAAGCAACAATTAACTAGCGTTAAAGATGCTCTTGGTGAATATACTCCATCGTTGGAGAAGAACAGTCCACATGTTTTTTAACATTAGAAGTAGCTTTAATTCACTTAATTCTTCAAGCTGACAGTAATTAATTCCTCAAATCCACAAAAATAAACTAATGTTTGTAGCTTGGTCAAATCGTGAACAGATGATATGTAACAGTAAATGTTAAGAATTATCATCTCTTGAAAGTTAATAACAGAGAATCTGAGCTATAATATGAAATTGATCAAATAAGGAAATAGGTGATCAATGGACCATTCAATCGGCCATTAGTCTGGATAATCTAGGGTTTCTACTCTGTAATCTACAACTTTTTTATAGAAATTTCTAAAAGAATTTTAAAAAAATCATCAATTTCGGAGGCAATCAATGATCTAAATGCATTCATTTTGTGAATTCAAATGTATATTACCGACAGGTTTAGTTCCGAATCCAAAAAAAAAAACTTAACTGAAGATGGAGGTTGGAAGATCTGAAGAACAGAAGAAGCATATATGATTACCTGTTCACACGGGAATGTAAGGAAACGACACAGCTGTGTAGTACGCGATTGGGAGATAGCCGATGGCCGCTCGAGGGCAATGGTCGTCGGGCACGGCGACGGAGACAACTCGCTAGGGTTAATCACTTAGCTGCCTTCCGTTCCACTGACGTTTGGGATGGCTGATGCTCATCTACTCTAACTTTTTTTTTTGATTAATACTCTAACTTGATTTGATATAAATTTAATTTAAATTAAAACTTTTATTATAATAATTATAACAATGGTAATAATGATAAAAGAAATAATAATAATAATAGTATTAGTAACAATAATAAGAATATTAATAACTATAATAATAATAATAAGAATAATATGGTAACGACAACAACAATAATAGTAATTGTAATAATTATCATAAGCCTGGCGTGGGACTCAACACACCTCTGTAGTACGCACATAACTGATGGCCGCCGAGGGCAATGGTCGTCGGGCACAGCAACGTAGACAACTCGCTAGGCTTAAGCTGCCTTTCGTTCCACTAATGTTAGGACGATAAATTTCATCAAATTAAAATTTTTATTATAATAGTTTTAGTAATAGTTATTATGATAAACTTTGGTTCTCATGACATTGGTTCCCAATGTCATGGGATGACCTGGGGACACTCCGGTGCCCCGTTCATAAAATTGACGGTTCCTACCCCCCGACAAACCCCCGCACCCCGCCCCGCACCGAACAAACCCCCCCACCCCCTCCAATTGCACCTCACAAGTCGATTTTGACTTTGAAGTCAAAACATTGGTTCCCAATGTCATGGGAACCTTCCCCGTATGATAAAAGAAATAATAATAATAATAATAATAATAATAATAAT